ATATATATGAGTGTTTTTTTTCTCTCCAACCACTTCAGAGCAGCATCTACGTGTGGTCAAAAATAGAAATTAGGTGAAGACATTTATCACAATTTTAAGACGGTCCATAAGTACTTTCCTAACTGCAACACCAGGACGTTTTGGTCCAGGTTTGCCTTTAACTCGTGTTTTCATGATGACTTTGTTGTGAGTGACAGAAGTCTGCAGAGAAAGACACGGTCTCCTTTTCCGAGAAACGCAAATCATGCCAACAAGAGGCGACTGTGAGCTCAGGGGGACCATCAAAAGTCTGATCAACCTCTTTTGTCTATGAAACAAATTTGATAGACTTCTTCCTTTCATTGCCGTCCAGAGATCCATTTGGATTATTACGAGTCTCTCCATGGCAGTCCAGACAATTTAATAAGCTATTAAGTTATAATAGACTTGCCATAAAGATGATAATTCACAAAAAAAAAATGCTGTGTGGGTTATTGTAGTGGCAGCAGCTTGAGGCTTATGGTTTTGCTTCTGCTGGAGATGATGTCCACATGGACTCTCAGTCACCTGTGGCTATCTCCATCAGAGCTCTGACTTCTGCTGCACGTTGTGTTTGTAGTTCTCTGCTGTGATCTGGAACCCAAACAGCTTCCTCAACGTGTTTCCTCCTGAACTGATGGAAGTAAGAGGTTTAAAAAAAATGCCAACCCACGGTGCGAGATGAAGTTTCTAATAAAAGATGGTAATATATCTCACTGTTCTACAGTGACGTGTTATAAATACACACTGGCAGGCTTCCAGAAAGATACACCCCACCATTCACCCACCCCCACTGTGAATCATCATTGGTTAGTTATAATCAGTGCATCAACACCAAGAATACTAATCAGAGATAACAAACCCACATTTTGATATATGGTTTATTTTAGCAGAAAAACCTATTTGTAAATTTCACATAGTTGATTATCTCGTGTGTTTTTTTTTTTAACTACATGTGATAAAAAAAATCTTTTATTACCTGCTGCCAAAGATGAAGAGATTTGTGCTTTTGTTGCTGATTTACTATTGGCTGCTCCGTTCTGCAGTGGTCATCACACAGAAATCTAGTTTTTCATTTCTTTTTGGATAAAACACAAAAAAAGGTTTAAAACTTAGCCAGTTTTACAAACGTTGAGCCAAAACTTGGTGAGGTAGATAAACCTTGTCCTCAACACGTAATTTTAGTGCAACATCTTTGCTTGAAACCTGAGATAAATTTTTGGGTCTGTTAGCAAAACGTCTCACAAACTAATGGACAGAATTCAATAAAACTCCCAAATGTAATCAGTGGTTGTATATTAATGGTCTCATGTCAGTTCAGTTGAACAAAAATAGCTCTAACTGAGTGAGTTTTACAGATAATGAGTTAAAATCTGATAGAAGCTGAGAATCATCCCAAGATATAAAACGATATACACTCACTGGCCACTTTATTAGGTACACCTGTCCAACTGCTCGTTAACACTTAATTTCTAATCAGCCAATCACATGGCGGCAACTAAGTGTATTTAGGCATGTAGACATGGTCAAGACAATCTCCTGCAGTTCAAACCGAGCATCAGTATGGGGAAGAAAGGTGATTTGAGTGCCTTTGAGCGT